TTTTGTTTGTTGCTGATGTTATTAATTATTGTTTTTGATGATTTGCTGAGTTTGATAATGATGTTGTATGTATGGCCAGTTGATATAGAGACAGTCTATAGAGACAGATGCACATCATGATGGTAACATACAAGTCTGTAAGTCTGAGGAAGACACAGACAAAGACAGATAGACACAGATTGATGTGCAGATAGTTTACAGACAGACCGTGCGCACGCACACACACATGCACACATACACACATACACAAACTCGCGCATATATATGTATGAATGCACACACATAGACATTCACTCACACACACAAACACACATGCTCACACACACACACACACACTCACACATACAAACACACATACACGCACACACATACACAAACACACACACTCTCTTACACACACATGTTCACACACAAACACACACACACACACTCTCTCACACACACACACACACACTACAATACACTCGTCTCACCTGGCCATCGGAGCAACCAATGGGAGAGTTGAGAATGAAGTCTGGCGGGGCCACGGCGTCAACAAGGGAAACAACCTCTGGCTTGAGCTGCGAGCACAGCTGCAGGATGGCCTCCCTTATTAGGCGGGGCGGGTCACCTCCGCTGACGTAGCCACCTGGTGGAGAGAAAACATAATGTGACTTACTGGTGGTTTTAGTTTTTAGTAAGAGTTTACGGCACTTGCAACACAATAAGGTCATATAAGTGCCGAAGATTAGAGGTGTTAAAAGAGAGTAAAAGTTGTTCCTGCATCCGATCCGGACAGTGGGGAATGCCTTGTTAGTGAGACTACTTCCTGGACCTTCGGCATATTGTAGTAAAAGAGAGTAACAAACACAAAAAAGAAGGAGGGGAGATAAAAACGATTGATGTTTGATAGGAAAGAAGGAGCTAACAACACCAGAGTACCCACAACTTACAGGATGAAAAAAAGGCCTGCCCTTACACAACATTATAATAATAATAATAGTTGTTAATACTATCCGTACGCCCTGGGGTCATTTTGTACCCCCGGGGTTGTATTCTTCACATTTTAGAATACTTCTTGTGCAAAGATCTCTTTAAAACTTTCAGTATTTCTCAAAAAATCATTTTGACAGACTGCTAATGCTATGCAAAGCGTACGGATCGGACTAATGAATAAATTTCCCCTTTGGAAAGTGGTGGCACAGAGTTCCCCACGTCGTATGGATACGATAGCAATACACGGCGTACGGATAGGGTTAAGCGAATAGAGCATACTGTAGCACAAAGATATTCGCTACATAAATGCAATTATCATTAAACAAAGCAAATGCATCAAAACAATATCAATAACATCAACAACATACAAAATAACAAGCACATAAAGAAAACAAAAATCAACAAACACAAAGATGAAACTACAACTGCTTGGCCAAGAGTTATCAGCTGATGACAAGGCCCTTCTGCACACCTACATACAGACTGTTTCGTGTAAGACTCCACCTTACTCCATTTTTTAAAATGATGTACGACGCAGTCTTAGACTGAGCAGTTTGTGGTCTAACTTTTCGGCTCTTCACCATCATACTCAGTAGATGTGAGTTAGATTCTCATGTGGGGAAATTTTTTATCGAGTACCTAATCTGTCTCCTGGGATAATATATCCCTCTCAGTGCGGATTAGCCCTGATAGACAGCGTCAAAGCATCCCGGTCCTTAACACTTTGCGGTCATTTGGCGCAATAATGCGACGGTGGATGAATTTCGTTGCAGTCATTCTCCTGGCTGGGTGACCAGATGGGGTATTTTGTACTGCTGGATGTGTGACTGCAAAGTGTTAAATTAGGATCTTCATCGTATTAAGAGGGAAACAAAACAATAAACAACTATAAGGCCAGCCTCCGACCTCCCACCCACCCTGGTAGAGCGTGGCCATGTGTTTGTCCAGGGACCAGAGGCCGTAGAGAGCACACAGCTGTCTCAGCACGGGTCGCAGCTCGCTCGGCGTCGGTTCGTCGTTCTTCTCCTCCAGGAAGCCCACGAACCTTTCCAAAACGGCATGCTGGTGGGGTGGGGGTGTGG